TGTGGGATCCAAGGTGAGCCTCTTTCTTTCTTCGCTGCAAATAAAAAAAAGTTAAGTTTGCCAGGAAGAGACGTGGACAGCTCCAAGCGATGGCGTGGCCTAGAAAAACTGACATAATCACTAAGAGTAAGCACTGTTGACACCAACTGACCAACTGGTCTCCTTGAATTTATCCCAAGTCCAACAGTCTACTCAGATGCTTCCTGTCAACCACAAAACTTCACGCTGTATCCGTTTTCACATTTCCAAATTGTGCTCTCCTGCCTGAACAATTAGGCCGCCATAAATCACTGCAGTGGCTTCAACACTTCGCCACTCTTCCCGTCTGAACGTGAGACGTCTCGTGTTTGATGAGGTTCTTCTACGTGTTGCGTTGGCCTTAATGTCTAGGGCAGTTGAAGATATTCTGGATGCTAGAGCAACAAGCAAGATGCGGGAGCAGAAAAATCTGGATGCAGACAGTGAAGGGTTAGGGGGTTGAAATTAAATTCGAATGTCCAATTGTGTGGTCGCAAGCCTGTTTACTATGCCTATTTTCAGGTAGAGAATCGAACTCTGGAGGAGTGCAATTTTTGCCTTGTTCATTAAAAAAAAAGATCTTGTTCATTTTGTTTTCCTGCTTCTCAGGATCTCAAATGAAAATTTCGATAAAAAAATATTATTTTATGTAAGTATTCCTCATGCTATGTTTTTCAATTATTCCTATATTTCTGCTCTCCTTCCTCTGGATATCATTACAGTGACATTTTCCTGGGAACAGGAATTCTCATTATCTACTTTCTACACTGAAAACTCCTAATCAGTTCTTATTTAAAACTGTTTTGCTCCCAATTTCCCAAGACAAAGGGCAAATCAAACAGAGTTGATTGATACTCAAATGGAGCTGTCGACTAGATCCTCACATGCAGAAAACAGGTCTCTGTTTCCTCCCAGCTTGGAAAATTTGCCCTGCCGGAGTTAAACTGTCGATGTCTTCTGAAAGCCAAAATAAAACAAAAATACTTTGTTCAAATCTTTTCACAGGAGAAAACACAAAAATGGAAAAGAGGTGTGAATTTAGCTGAACGACTAAGCGTGATGGGTTTTATTTAGTATTTCACTCAAGCCTGGTGCGAAATTATAAATTTGCTTCATTTTAATACGTCGCAGTCCTGTTCATTTGTCGACCTTATTCTCTAAAGCTACTAAGTTTTTAAAGCTGTTCTCCATCGCTATGCCTTTACATAAGCTAAAAGACTTTCTGCCTAAAATAGCCTTGTTAGCTGTTCTCCGGTCAAAGTGCTCCTCTTTCCCGAGTTCGGCCTCCTCTGTGAGGCTTTTGGTCAGGGTCTCCTTCCTTCCAGCCGCATCCTCTAATGCAGGCACTGTGCCACCGCCCGCCCGTGGACGGCCTCGCTGCTCCCGCTCAGTGGCCTCCGTCACGGCACTGAGGATGCTGTACTCGCCTTTCTCCTTGTGGAATCCTGAGGACAAGGACCTCGTTTGATTCATCGTTACAGTTTCATCGCTCAGGAGAGTCCCCGGCTTAATCTAGATGCTAATAAATATTGAGTGAATTTTCAGTTTTACCATTTTCTACGTTTAATTTACTTCACATTTCTTTTTAAGTTTCGATGTTTTTCTTATTCTCTTGACCTTAACGATCTCAAAGTGCAGACAAATTGGCCATCAGAGACTCAGGAAACCATTTCGGTGTTCGGATCTACAGGACGGAGCTAGTGACGCAAGACTATTTTAAAAGCCTATAGTAAAAATAAATGTCTACTCTCTTCAGAGGAAAATGCTAAATAATTAAAATAAAGCTTTGCTTTGGAAAACCATTTGGCAATTTTTGATGACGTTAGACACTGTCAATCGTGAACAAAAAGTCGGCAGGTATTCCTTCGGCAAAAAAAAGTATTTATTTGGGAAAAAGAAAAGATTGCAATCCTGTACACGTAGCCATGGTGAGCCACGTGCAGGAAGAATGCGGAATGAGGTGAGGGAGCTCTTTCACGGGGGGCAGAAGAAGTTAGGGGAGGGCGTTATCACCATTATGCAGCTTAAAAACCTTATCTCAATCTCTTCCTCTCTCCCTCCCTCTCTCTAGATACAGATATATAGATACAGACATACAGATACACACACACACCATACTAGGGTTCAATTATTTACATTAAGTCAAGAATGATGTACAAAGTTTAAAATGGTGGGCCGCAGCAAGAACACATTTAATTTTGGAACTCGTTTAGCTGTACTATTTTTTTTATTTTCTTAATTATGTTTTTCTCAGGATAACAGTCACATCATTTTGGTCACACTTCGCCAGGGTCAACTGACGAGTGAGCTAAATAACAGAATATGCTAAAACAAACAAACGAAAGATTTAGAATTAAATTTCTCCTATGACAAATATTTTTTTACAGTTAACTAAAATAGAAGTAATTGTAAATACTTTGGTCACAGACATTTGGTTTGCTCTGTAATTAAAACGTCTTATTAAATTCCAAGTTATTCAGATGGACAAAGCGATGTATACATTTAGGAAGAGGAGAAAGAATGAGCCATTTGAAGGCAACCAAAGCCCCAGAGGCTAGAGAGCGCTTGGCGATGGGACTAAAAACAGCAGTGGGTGCCACCAGGAACCAGGAAGATAAGGGAACTGGTTTGTGCAGGACACCTTGTAAACCAACGTAAGGATTTAGATTGCACTGTAAGAGCACTAGAGAGCCTTTGGAGCGCCTTAAGCTAGGACGTGATATAATCAGGCCCACATTTTTCAAAGGTCATTCTATTATCTGGAAAGTGGATAGAGGCAAAACAGGAAAAAAAAGTGAGCTTGATGAGGTCATCGATCCTTTAGGACAGTGGTGGCGGCGGAGCTGGAAAGGGGTAAGCTATCGGAGATAGTTTTTGCGAGGGGACAAAATCTGCTGACGGACTGAATGTGGACGAGGTGGGGCACACGTAAAGACCAGGCCAAGGTCCCTGGCTCGTGCCGCTTCCTGACGTGGCAGCAGCTGGAGCAGAGACAGCGCTGCGGGCGGAATCGAATGGTTTTTTTCGGACAGGTTAACTTCGAGATGCTGGATGGTATCCAAGAACAGCTAGCTGTTAAGCTGAACAGGAGTTTTGGGGAGAGGCCAGAATGACAAAAATCTGGTGGCGAGCAAGATGGAGATGAAATTCAAAGTTCTGGGCACGAACGGAAATTCCCTAGAAAGAGCGCGCAGAAAAGAGCACAGCAGTCACGCCACAAGCGACGACGCTTCGGTCCTCGACGGCCGCATGCTCGCAGACGTCCCACGGATCACAATGGAGCTGACAGCTTCCTGTCGCCTAGCGCAACACCCCCGCTGCCGCCGCCGCGCTGCGCAGCGCAGCG